TTCTTCACGCGCTATCTCGTGGTTATTTGGACTCACTTGCATGCCTCTCGAGTCTCGACTGCCATTTTACCAAATGGCTATTTCTTTCTTCTTTTGCTACGTGTCTTCCATGCCATTTCCACATTTTTCACTTTTTTTTTTCCTTTTGTTTTTAATAGTTTTCATTTATTTTATAAATAAATAAATATACTTCAGATAAGATATGCAGTACCGAGTAATTGAGTGATGTTAGGATTTTTTTACGAAACTGAGCCCTATTAGCAAACTATTTACGAATATAGACGCGTGGTCAAACTATTTACGGAATTGAGCTTCTGAGGTAAAACGACCTCTGTTATTATTTTTTTTTAAAATTCTTATTTAGTGAAATACAAATTTTTTTTTAAAAAAATATGGAAATACATAAAAACGCTGCCTCAGTCAGCGTTTTTGTCTCCCTTAAAACGCTGACTGAGGCAACGTTTCATTAATACTAGAAAACCGCTGCCTCAGTCAGCGATTTTGCCTGGTATATTTTTCGCGCACTCACTCTTCCTCAAAACTAAAAACTCAAACTCACTCTTCCTCACGCAATAGCCTATCTTCCTCAAAGCTCTGTCGTCGCCGCCGCCTGCTGCCTGCCGCCGTCGCCGCCGCCTATTGCCTGCTGCCGCCGCGCCTCTCCTCTTCTTTATAATCACATTGTTAGTACTTCTCACTTATTTGTTTTTAAAATTTAAAAACCTAGGTTAGTTTGATAATTATATACTACATTGTTTTAATTTGATAATGTTGTTGTTTATTCTAAGTTAGTTTGATGTAAATTGACAATTATGTTGATAATTCTAAGTTGGTTTGTTGTAATTTGATAATTGTCTAGTATAAAAGCCCTAAATTGATGTTACTTTAGTAAGAAAGTTTATGATGAAATTGTGGAAATATTTGATAAAATTGTTGAAAATGTTGATGAAATTGTCTAGTATAAAAGCCCTTGATCGACTGACCGAGGATCAGGTGAAATCTTTAATTTGTTTATGAAATTGTTATTTATTATGTATACTCTTAACATATTTAATATGCACTAACCTGTTTATTATGTTACTTTTTATGTGTTATCGCAGATTACATGGGACCCGTATGAAGCTGATTTAGTTGCTGCCATGCCTCCACATCTGCTAGATCATCAGGCGAAGTGGCGTTCTAGGGTCCCCCTGATCTGTTTTGAGGTCGTCGAGGGTCACCTACCAGATCGAGTCATGCGACAGTTTGGACTACGACAGACTGTCCCCCAACAGTGTGACACTAGTGCCCGGCTGCACCGCATTGACCGTCGGGGAAAGAGCGACAGGAACTGGCGGACGGAACATCCCCAGTACATTGACTTGTGGCATCGACGGTTGGAGTTCGTCGTCACTGGTGACCCCATCCACAGCGTTATGGATCCATACGATCCATACATGGAGTGGTACATGCGGATTACACGGCGTTTCATCAACCCCAGCTACACACCGACATCCGCACATTACCATCCATCCTTTGACGTGATAAGGGGATATGTAAGTGTATTTGATTAACTTATTTTTATCAATTTTAAATTTGTATATCATTCAACTAACTCATCCTTAATTACTGCAGGCGTTGGATATGACGGCGATGGTTGACGCACTATCGGACGTCCTTCCAGGCATACCTGAGCCGCCCAGAGCACAGGTCGAGCGGGTGCGAGATATGGGCATGGCTAACTTGCAGAGATATGGTCACGCCTATCTCGTCCACCCCTGGGACGATCATGGCGGCCACTCTAGTCACTCACAGTTCGAGGCTGGCCAGAGTAGCTGTGGGGGTGATCCTTCGTCATTCACGGACGCAGAGGAGTACGACATTCGTAGTTCCGCGCCCCTACGTCATCCTGATGACCCATCTTCCAGCCAGCTGACTCCGCCAGTACGCCCGAACCCATTTACCACGGCCGAGAGTGGACATACAGGATAGAGAGCCGTTACACCAAATTGATGAGTCAGAATAGGATAGAATTATTTGATTTATTTGCTGTAATGACCTTCTCTAGTTTGTTGTACATAACACTTACATTACATTATTATTTGAATAATTATTTGAATGAATTTATGTCTTATTTGAATTTCAAATTCCTTATTTGTCCACGTTTGACTCATTTCGTTCAAAATAAATTGTGGATGTGGAGGTGGTGGATGTGGAGGAGGATGGGTGGTGGAGGTGGTGGATGTGGAGGAGGAGGGTGGTGGAGGTGGAGGAGGGTGGTGGTGGTGGTGGTGCATGTGGAGGAGGATGGTGGTGGAGGATGTGGAGGAGGAGGGTGGTGGTGTTGGTGGATGTGGAGAGGGTGGTGGATGTGGAAGGGGGCTGCACTGGCTGCTGTTGGGGGCCTGCTGTTGCTGCCTTCAGCCAGCAGATAAAACTCTGTTATGGATACAAGAAAAACGCTAACCGAGTCAGCGTTTTACTGTATTTCCAATTTTTTTTTTTTAAATTTGTATTTCACATAATACGAAATTTTATAAAAAAATAATAATAACCAAAGGTAAAACGCTGACCGAGGCAGCGTTTTATATCAGAAGCTCAGTTTCGTAAATAGTTTGGCCACGCGTCTAGATTGGTAAATTGTTTGCCAATTAAGCTTACTTTCGTAAAAAAATCCGTGATGTTATATGAAGCCTTAAGAGCACCATGACTAAAAATAAACATTCATTCCGTAATATCTTTTCTATTGTAGTACGAGTATCACTACAAGAAAATAACCTTTTCGTAGCGATTATTTTAACCTTTAGTATCGATTGTAATTGCAACAAAAAGCTTTCCCAACGAATGGTCATTCGATACAATATCCTCCGTTGCCTTAGCCTTTAGTAGTGGTTTTCAATATCGCTGGGGTTGGCCTCAATAATCGATACGAAAAACTACATCCAATCGTGGTGATTATTGTAGCGATTACAATCACTATAAATGTTCAACTCATTTTCTTAAAAAGAAAAAGAACATGTGTATGATCTTTACAAGATTCAAACATGCAACCTCAAACTCTTATATTAAATGTTTCACGAATAAGCTATGAGATATTTTATGTATTCTTTGTCAAACAATATTTATATATCTAGTGCTGAAAAGGCTTTTCGTATCGATTTTTAGGATTTAATGGCGATTGTAAATGATACAATTTCTCAAAATTATATAAATGTGTAAAAATAGTGTGGATATGTATTATTATGCTTTCCGTATCGATTTTATATGGGAAAACCATGACGATTGTAAAAATGATACGACATCCTTAATTATTTCATAAACATACTTGCATATTGTAGCGAATGAACAATCGCTACGAAATAATCGCTACAAAAAGTGATTTTTCTTGTAGTGATCAGATACTGTTTTCTTCAGCTTAATTTCAGTTTGGTTTCTAATTTTGTACATAAACAATTAAGTTTAGTTCAATTCGGTCCAGCTCAGTAAATCAAAACAGGTTCTTAGTTTAAAATTACATGACAAAATAACACGCAAATTAGTGTAACTAATATTATATTTATTTACCTGAGTTTTGATAAATATAGATACAAAGTTACGAGTGTTTATCAATTTTGATATACTCCATACAACAAAGAAAATCAAATGAATAAACCACACAGATTTCCAAAGTACACATAATTCATCATATATAAGTACTAATGATTGCAATTATGAATTGGATTTATCTCATTATGCTTTAGTGAAAGAATGACTCATTGATAATTAGCATGAACATAAATACTTTCTCCATTTTATAAATAGAAATATTTGAGATTGTCTATTGTATACACTTTTTTAACCGCTTTTGTAATTTATTTGATAAAAAAAATATAATCACATGAGATCTTGTTATCATTTTGATTTAAAATTTAACATTTTCAACTTAATTGATTATAAAGATATAAAATTTGAAATTTGTAAAGTTAAGAGTACAAAGTATGTGTTGAGATATATGGAGATATGATTCATATGAATGCATGTGGAGTATTAGCCATCAGGGTTCCAAAGTTCCAGGCCAAGTATAGCTGGATGGATTGCAATCCTTTTAAAGTTTAGTGCATTTAGTATTTAGACTATGAAGGCTGCAGAAATTGGAACTCGTACCCCTTTTTCTATTTTCTATGTACTCCCTATTTTTGTTTTTGTACTGTTTGTCAATTTAATTCGTTCAAAACTACTAGTGTAATTCGAGTATATCTGATCTATATGTGGTATATTTTTTAATTTCAAAAAGATATGTCCAAGCTCCAACTCTCCAACCCTTATCTCGTTGATGAACAAGCATAGATTGTCCAGATTATAATGTGCATGGAAGTTTTTTTGTAAGCATGTTTTGCTCATTATTTGTTAGACCCTATTATTTTGAGTTGTTCTACTAACTTTGTCCAGAAGCTTAATAGAGCAAGGCCTTAATTGTTTATTAAGGGCTGGGTACAACGATTGAGATCGATAAAACTTTCAATTAATAACAAAAAAAATTAAGATGAATAGTTGCAAAAGGAAAATTTTCATGGACATTAACGCTTGAGCTCTATCCCTCACTCTCTGTTCTCTTTAGCTCAATTTTAGTTCGGTTCCTAATTTCCTTCTGTCATATTCAATTCAGTTCAGCTTAGTTTAATTCAATTCAGTAAATCAGAACTGACCCTAATATATGACTACCGTCTACTTGTAAAAGAGTACTTTGTATCACGTAATTGTAATATATTTTCTACCAAAAAAAAAAAAAAAAAACTTAGAATACTTTTTTTGAAACCAAAAAATCTTGGAATATCATCCATATCGTACTAGTCCATAATTACGAAACGTTTTTCATTAGTATAAAAATACAGGGGTATGTACTAATCTCCTACGTATAGCACTCATTAAATTAATCAAATAGTTTTCGCCCACAGCATTGTAAGCCAACAGGCTAAAAAAAAAGACTAATTACAAACAATACACGCAAGCTAACCTTAATTAAACTCCCCAAAAGAGTTGGAATTTGGAAATTGGAAAGTATAATTCATCTCTTTCTTTGGAGAGTGACTCAATTAATATGGTACCAAATTCTATTTTATTTTAATAGTATGAAAAATATGACAAAATAGGTTCATCTCCCCTCTTCCCATTTTCTGGAAACTTTTTATTTATATAAAAATAATAATAGCCCCCAAAAAGGCAAAAGACCACACTCCCTCTGTTTACCAGTTTTTGGGAAACAGCTGCGCCTCCTGAACCCAGCAACCACTTTTATTATTTTCTCTCTCCTATTTCCTACATTTCTATTTTCCTCTTCTTCGTTCATTTATATATCTTCATACATTCTCCTCCCTTCCTTCCCCTCAAACCAACGCCTTCTTAACCTTAACCCATACTCTCTTTTAATTCTCTCTATCTGATAAGTTTCTTGAAAATGCGGATGAGTTGTAACGGATGTCGAGTGCTACGGAAAGGTTGTAGCGAGGATTGTAGCATTAGACCTTGTCTTCAGTGGATTAAGTCCCCTGAGTCTCAAGCTAATGCCACCGTTTTTCTTGCTAAGTTTTATGGTCGTGCTGGTCTCATGAACCTCATCAACGCTGGTCCTGACCACCTTCGCCCTGGTTAGTCTTTTATCTCTTTCCAAAATAAACAACACTTAGAGACGAGAACAATATATATCAATTAAACATCTATCTACCCTTTGCATGTACTAATAATTGAATAGTTTATCATGTAATTTCAAATTATTGGATTTAATTAAAATCCCTAGATTTTAGGTTTTGGTTGCCACGTTACTATTTTTGTTCAAGTGGGTCAAGTTGTTGTTGGAAACTGATTAAACTTCTTTCTCAAGTTAATACAATTATTTATCATTTAATTAATTACCTATATGCTGATTAAATGCTTTGTTTATTTCAGCAATATTCAGGTCATTGTTATACGAAGCATGTGGTAGAATGGTGAACCCGATCTATGGTTCGGTTGGGTTGCTGTGGTCAGGTCAATGGCAGCTTTGTCAAGCAGCCATTGAAGCCGTTTTAAAAGGCGCGCCGATCACGCCGATCCCTACTGAAGCCGCGTCTAACTCCCCGCCTATCCAAGGGGCTTACGACATCCGCCACGTGTCGAAAGATGAGCACGCCCACTCCAACAACAGCTCGGCTGCGGCTGGGTTGCACCGAGTCAAGCCGACTCGGACTCGGTTCAAGCGTGTCGGCTCCAAGTCCAAGCCGGCTTCTAAAGCCGAGTCGGCTGCTGCAACCGCTCTTCAGGTGTTGGCGGCGGCTGAGTCAACTCGGCCTGACTCGTCCGAGTTGAACGGGTCAAGCACGAGCCATGACTCCACCGTGAGCCACCCGGATGAACCCGGGAGCACCACGCACACGAGCTTGGTATCGACCGATGTAACGGTCGATGCTGCCGAGGTGGTGGTGGAGAGGGAGAACGGTGATGATGGTGAGGTGGAACTCGAGCTGACGCTCGGGTTCGGGTGTGACTCTGGTGTGAAGGCCGAGTCAATGAGTCGGAAGGTTAATAATAATGATGATCAAGTTGTATGTGGAATGGGATTAGGACTTGTTTAATTAAAGTTTAGATTAGTGGTTTTTAGGAAATAGTATTTTCCCTTGTTAACAGTTTTGGGTTTTGAATGTACAAAACAAAGTTGACTATATATTAAAAAAAAAAAAAAAATAGCTAGTCAGAGATGGTACGTGTTATATACAAAGTACTTTTGAAATGTAGTGTATTTTGGGGAATTTGTATCCAATGGAAGTTAGATAAACAAAATCCTTTGTTCTACAATAATGAATTAACAATTTCTTAATTTTTATCTATTCTGAATTGTGATATTTATTTAAGAATTTCACTTCATATAGAGGGGATATTTTGAAATATTTTTGTATATGCTTTGTATTAGTAGTTGATCACACAAATTTAACATACAAATTAAGTTATGTGAATAATTTATAAAGTTAATATGATTGAATAGGCCAATTGACCAGATTGGTAAATAAAAAAGACCCTTAGCGACAATTTGGTAAAAAAACTTACTCCGACGACAAATTGGTAAAAAAACTAACCTTAAGCGACAATTTGGTTAATAAAATAATCTCAAGCGACACTTAACCCAAAAAATACAAAAAATTCGATAAATTACTCGCGAATGTTAATATAGTTCGTTTTTCTTGTTATTTTACCAACCCTTTTTTTTCGGAAATAACAATTTGAAGAAAAAAAAACGTTAAGTATCAATTTTCACTTAAGTTTCATACCCCTTATTAACGAAATTTTTTAAAAAGGGGGTTGGAAATGAAAAGGGATGACATGTAAATTCAATATTTTAAATGGAAAAAATAAATTTAAGAACACAAAAACAAATTAAAATAGGATTTTTAAAGAGTTTGTCGGGAAAAAAAATAGATTTTTTGGTCAAAATGTCGCCGGAGTTTATCATTTTTACCAAATTGTCGCACATTGTTAGCTTATTTTACCAAACTGTCGCCGGAGTAAGTTTTTTTTACCAAATTATCGCTAGAGGTCTTTTTTATTTACCAATTTGGTCAATTGGCCTGATTGAATATAATCAAGTTTGAATTATAACAATCAACTTTTCATGGAACTAGTCATCTAACATGATATAATAAGCTAAAAAGTCAAGTATTGCAAATGTGTGTAACAAAGTACTCCATAAATAGAAGTACCTTGGAAGTGGTCGACAAACGTTTTGTAGGCACGAGAGGTTCACATGAATGTGCCAAAAAATGTGGTACTAGACTACTAGCCACATGATTAGATGGTTTCTTTTCACATGCAATTGAGTGGATTCGTGTGAATGCCCATCAAAACTTCTTAATTAAGTTGGTCAATCCACAGCTTTGAGCTATTATTTTCATATTTTGGTTGCTCAAGGCCTCAAGATGTAGTTACAAACTAGTTTGAGAACGAGGCAAACAAGAAGGTAAGACAATAAAAGTATGTGAACCTCACCTAGCTTATAAGCATTTGTAGTTGATGGATTCAAACTCTTGAAATTAGGTTATGTTTGATTCGCTTGATAAATTCTTGTTGGATTTTGTCAAATCTATTTTCTTTTTCGTTAATAATCGATTGTAGATGTCGGAAGCCTGTAATCCATGAAAATTATTAGCATCCTTTATTTTTTTTTTGTTTTTGTTTTTTATTTTTAAAGACAACTTTGTGTATTCCATTTCATCCAACAATCACCAATCATTTTCGACATGTTAAAATTATTAAAATGCTTATAAATATTCATATTATCTTATTCGTTGAATTCAAGATCACACACACAAATGTAATTGACTTTACTAAACCTTATATAGTCGGTGAAACGAGAATTTAATAAATAATGTGAGATAGATATACTAATTACATACAAACGACAAAAATAGAGAATGAAACGTAAGAATTTACTTGTATTAGTGGTATATTTGTTTTTACGGATTTGTCAAGATATACCACTTAGTTTTAACTTAACTCACCATATAAAATTAATTTCATTTCAGTAAAAATAAATTCAGTTCAGTAAAATTTTGTTTTCTTAAAGAAGAATTATAATAGAAAATCAGTAAATATAATTTCAGTTCAGTCAAAATAATTTAAGTTCAGCAAATATAATTTTGTTCCAGTAAAAATAATTTCAGTTCAGCAAAAACAAGGTAAAATGAAAGGGGCCATAGTCTTATTAGAACTTATATTTATGAAATAAATAAAAATAAATGGAAATACATAAGCTCGTAAAATATTAAAGTATATTCAAAGCTAATTTTTTCTAATCTGATCTGAAATGAGTTACAGATCATGAATAAAATAAACTGCGCTAAATAAGCCTCATTCACCCAAGTCACTCGTACATGAGTAATGGATGGATGTAATCCATGTTAGCTAGTGGATGGTGTCAATGCGGGTGAAACTCCATCCAATCCGAACCCAATGAAATCCCTTTTAAGTAACCAGTTCGAAGGCCATTTACCAAGCCCATACTATTGTTAGCCCTGTAGGAAATTAATTCCTTCAAAGAAAATCGTACGGAGTAATAAATAAAGAAACAAGAAAACCAAAGACAACTATGAATTGAAGAAAAAAAGTAATTGCAGAAAATTCAATTTAAAAATAGGCTGAAAAATAAAGAGAAAGAAACGAAAAAGAGAAGAACCCTAATTTTCGTAGCGAAGCGAAATTGGTTCGCATCGAATTCTTTGAAGATGAAGAGCGTTTACGAGTAACAGTTAATTTTTTTAGGGATTCATTCAATAATTTCCGCCTGATTAACACTTTCTCTCTCCTCAGCCTCTCACTCCGGTAACACTTTTTTCACCGCTTAAACCCTAATTTATTATTTGTATTTTTTTGAATTAATATTCATTTCTTTTGGGTGAATTCATGCTTTAATGTGTTTATTACAAATGTTTCTGGAAAATTGTAGCTTTATTTTTTCATGATTGTTAGCGGAAGTGCGGTAATTTGTTTAATATGATGATAGATTAGGGTTAAATCAACTAATTTGAAGTAATTTTTTGGTTTTGTTGCGGTATGTGATTGCATTGTTGCATTTGGGAGCTGGAAGAAATCAGCTTCATTTTTGATTGAGGTGGTTGTATTAGTATAAGAAATGGGAATTGTTGCATACTTGTATGAAAGAATTTGGTGTGATTTATATGGTGTGGAAATCCCGTTGGAAGTAATGTACTATGTGTGTGGTGATTAATGTGAAATTTGCAATTCTGTAGGGTTTTGTGACTAATTAGATTTCGGGATAGTCGAACTGATGGAAGAGGACAGAAAGGGTGCTCTTAAAGGACGGCAAGGCACCTCATTTAAGAAGAAAGGGGCGAATAAGAAAGGAAGATGGAATAATTCTAGGCCGGAACATATTGAGAATACTCAGGTTCCTAACCCTACTGACACTGTTTACCGGATTCTCTGCCCATCTAAAAAAATTGGGAGTGTTATTGGCAAAGGTGGCGGCATAATTAAAGTCTTGAGAGAAGAGACAAAGTCGAAAATAACTGTTTCCGACTCAATTCCCGGATCAGATGAGCGGGTGATAATGATTTATAGTCCTCCTGATAAAAGCTTAAATAAAGAGGCAGATGAGGGGAATGAGATCATGCCATCACATTGTCCTGCTCAAGAAGCTCTCATGCGAGTTCATGACAGGATTATCGAGGAAGACTTGTCAGCTGGGAAGGAAGACGTTGAAGATGAGAACTGCATGGTCACTGCTCGTCTTATTGTTCCGAATAACATGGTAGGATGCCTTATTGGCAAAGGTGGAGATGTTATTCAGAGATTGAGGAGTGAGACTGGTGCTAGCATTCGTGTGCTTCCATCTGAGCATCTTCCGTCATGTGCCCTAAGTACCGATGAACTTGTGCAGGTATTGCCTTTTATTTTATTGTTGATACACCATTCATAAAAATGGACATGAATTAACATCTTGAGTTGACATTAGAGATATTTGGGAACAATAAGGTGAAAATGGCTTAATTTTACTAGCATCTGGCTTCTTAACAGAAATTTGTTGTTGATCTAGTTTAACTTTATAGAACAGAGTGATTGCATTGGATTCACGCATTTATAATTTTTTTTAGTGTGTAATGTCTTCTGAAGAAGTGTGGGCTCTTTGTTTCTGTTATAAACAAGTTAAGGTTAAATTATTAGTATTATCATATGTTGTTGATTTAGTTTAACATTATAGAACAGAGTGATTGCATTGGATTCACACATTTATATTTATAACCTTCCAGAACGCTTATGTTTCTAAAGCTACATTGTAACTCTCTCTGTTGTCTAGGCAAGACCCTGGCTATATCTCCTCAATTTCCGTTGGTTCATCTTGTGGGATGTTGAATTATTAGATGACAACCGATCATATGAGATTTACTTTTATTTCTTGATTAATTTAGTTTAATGTCATGTCCTTGTCTAGCTAGTAATTTATGATAACTTCTTTCTTGGATTATCAACATGATTGATTTTAGAATAATGCTAATGGTTTGAAGCAATGGTTTGAAGCCACATGTAAAAGGATCCTGTAGATTCTTAAAGCCAACTAGGTACTTGAGAATTGGGTAATGTGTCCTTTATAATGAATTAGGAGTTTTGAGCTCTTTATTCATGCAAGCAGCACGAATGTTTATTATTTATCGATAGTCTCCGGGTGACACTAACCTCACTAGAGCATATGACACCAACCGCTAGAACTATTTTTAGTTGTTGTTTGATTTGATGGTTGTTTATTCTGCTGTGTTTTAGGAACTTTGAGACGATCCTTTTATTTGAAAAATTTGCTTGAAAATTTTCATAAATTTGTGTTACGTTTTATCTCTATGTTATCTTTTTGCTACTCATAAGTCATAAATATTATCTGAAGTACTTATCTGATAATACTGTATACTTGAAATGCAATTTTTTTGTGTTTTTCCGTTCTATAGTTTGGAGTTGATTAAGAAATCTGTGTAACTAAGGGAATTGAGGACAGGCAAAATTTTTTTTGCTGGATTTCCAGCTTCTCCATCTTCTTCAGTCTCCTTTAATACTCATGGTTTCAGGCCAGCACTAGATTCTAATGTGAATAGAATTTGGTTGTTAATCTTTAGTCCGGTTTCTTTTGCTTCTCCCACTTCTTCAGTCTCCCTGGTTTCTTTGTATCATACTTCCTCCTTTGGAAGGGAAGTGAGAAAAGATATAAGTTTTGTTGATACTGAGGAGAGTTTCCTTTTCAAGCATTTATCAAAAGCAAGTTGGAGGGATTAGATTAAATTGTAGATATATGGCCTTGTCTTTATATATCTTAAAAAAACAAGTAAT